AGTTACAAATTATTAATAAAAAGCCAGAAAAAAGAGAAGGAGCCAGAAGCCCCTGCGTATGTTTGGAAATCAGTAACGAGCTTTTGTCTGTGCATCAGTAGAAGAAGACTGTCATGGTAAAAAAGTTATGAAATATTTAGGTTGAGTGCCAGTAACAGCATTACATATCAAAGCATGTGAAATTAGCAAAATTGGTACCTAGAGGGAAATGTATGGCCTCATTAAGAAACAAGATAAATAAAAAATAAGATGAGAAATTAATGAGCTGTGTGTCTTAGTTTCCTCGGGTGCCATAGCAAATTGACAAGAAATTGGGCAGCTCAGAACAGGTATTTATTACCTCAGTTGTGCAACCCAGAAACCCCAAATCAAGGCTTTGGCAAAGGTAGTTATTTCTGGGGGCTCTGATGGGGGTCCATCCCGGGTCTCCCTTGCTTCTCGGGGCTCTGACGGGGGGTCCACCCTTGGCCCCCCCAGTTTCCGGGGGCTGCCCTTGACTGGCAGACCCTTCACCAGACAGTCCCGTGTTCATCCCTGTGTGTCTGTGTCCAGACCTCCTCCTAAAAGGACGCGTGTTGCTAGATTAGGGTCACTCCGATGCAGCATGACCTCATCTTAACTTGATTGTTCCTGCAAAGAGTTATTTCCAAATTAAGCCACACTCGGAAGTTCTTCATGGACATGAATTTTTGAGGGACCATTTTCAACCCACTGCCAGATGCCACCTGAGAAACCAGGAGGAGAGAAAGCAAGCAAGACAGAAACATGGAAAAATAAGGATAAAAGCTGAAGCTAAACTAGCAGAAATCGAAGAAATAGCAGCAGACAATAAAATCAGAGTCTGACTCTGAAGAGACGGGCGAAGCAAACACCCCAGAGGGCTGCCACATGGTGAGATGTGCACTGATTTGCCACACGCAGGGGAGGAGGGGGGTCGAGGAGGAGGGTGGGGAGGGTGGGGAGCGGTGGACTCAGATCTGCCCATGTTCCCTGGTTCAGCTCTGCTCATCTGGGTGGACTCAGAAGACACCTCCTCCAGGAAGCCCTCCTTAATTCCTTGCTGAGGATGGTCTAACAGCCTGCTATTGCTGGCACAGCCCCTTGTACGTGGCTCTTTAGTGATGCTCACCCGTCATCTTGCTGAGCCCTCTCACTGCCTCTGTCCTGTTCGAGCTCTGACAGTAACCTCCTTCATGACAGAACCACGCCCTTTTCCCCTGTTGCATTTTGTGTATGAAGTCTTGTATACAGAAGGTGCCCAATAAATGATCGAAGCCCTGTGTTTCTCTTTTTGCCCTGCGGCTGGGTGACCAGGTGCCCTGGACACGCCCCTTACCCTGGGACTCTCCTGCGAGTGAGGGGGCAGGCGGTGTTCCCGCCCAGTGAGCCGTGGCGGTGGGGGGGGGTGCGGGGGGAGGGGTTCCTCAGTCCCAGGGTCCCAGGCGTGCAGGGTGTTGGGGGGTCAGCTCAGTCATGTAGCGTCTCCCTAGACCCCCAGTCATTGTCTCCCCTCGGGCTGGAAGCCTGCACTTCACCCCCTCGTGTGGGAAAAACCCGGTCAGAAGATGAGCTGCTCACACTGCGGCCCGGGCAGACCCTGGCCCTGGGGGCAGGACACACGGTCCCTAGAGCTGCCTCTGCGTTAAGGGGCAGATTCCGCAGCTTTCTGGGAAGGCCATTCCCACACTCTGGTTATGAAGATGCCTTTGGCCTGGATTGCCTGTCCTGACCCTGAGTCCTCCACCATCCTGCAGCCCAGACAGCTCATCAGCCCGGATATGGGAGACAGGAAGGGCTCCGAGAGCCAGAGGGTTTCCTGGAATCTCCCGGGTTGGGGGGGGGGGGCGTGTCATCCAGGAACAGACCGTGTCATCCACGGTCTGGCGTGGAGGAGCCCTGGGGGGCCATGGCTCCTGGGAACCCCCCGGGTCCTCTTAACACCCCCCGAAGCGGCTCCATGCTTTGAACCACCAGTGTCCTGCTTCATCTGATGCTTTGCTGCCAAGGATGGAAAATCATCTCTGTGCCCGGCCGGAGCTGCTCATGGGTCCAGGAAAGCAAGGGCTGGACCTCAGCTTCCTGGAAGAAAAGTGGCTTCTGGCGGCTTCCCTGGGGAGCTCCGGGTCCTCGCCATGACCGTGGGCTGGGTCAGCCTCTGTCCACAGTGTTGTGGACCACTCCCAAGGCCAGGTAGCTCCATTATCTTGAAGTCAGTGTGTCCCAAACCCACTCAGGTTAACCAGATCAAAACCAAACCAAAACACAGAAAGTGGCAAGGGTGCCTGGGGATTGCGCTGCTGCTGGGAGCGTGGAACGGGGCGGCCAGTGGAGACAGCTCAGAGGTTTTTTCACTGAGCTGAGCATGATGCCCTGGGGTGTCCCCAGGAACGGCACACAGTGCTGAGACACACGCCTGCACACTCAACATCCACGGCAGTCGAGGGGTGGACCCAGCTCCTGTCTACCAGCCATGAACGGGCCATTGAGATGTGATAGGATGGAGTTCGACTCAGCTATGGAAAGGAGGGGCAAGCTGGCACCTCAGCAACATGTGTACCTTGGAGACCATCAGAGAGGAAGGGCCTGGCATGGATGGACATGCACTGTGGGACTGCTCCTGTGAAACATCCAGAAGGGGCATGTCCACGGACACGGCAGGTGGGCTAGTGAGTGCCAGGCCTGGGTGGAGGGTGCAGGGGACTGCCAGGTGTTTGGTGGTGATGAGATACCTGGATCTCGGTGCTAGTGATGTTTGTATAACGTTATGAATGCCCTGAAGGCCACAGAACTGCACACTTTAAGATGATGGGCTGTTAATTTTAAGTTGTGTGAGTTTCACTTCAATTGAAGCAAAGTCCCCTCATTTGCTCAATCACCTCTCGGGCCCCTTGCTTCTGCGGGAAGCCTGGGGTCATTTCCTCCTGACCTGCTTCCACCTCTCTGCCCCTGGTCACCGCCACCACGGAGCCTGATCACTTCTGTGTGGCCTGACTACGTTATGAATGCCCTGAAGGCCACAGAACTGCACACTTTAAGATGATGGGCTGTTAATTTTAAGTTGTGTGAGTTTCACTTCAATTGAAGCAAAGTCCCCTCATTTGCTCAATCACCTCTCGGGCCCCTCGCTTCTGCGGGAAGCCTGGGGTCATTTCCTCCTGACCTGCTCCTACCTCTCTGCCCCTGGTCACCGCCACCACGGAGCCTGATCACTTCTGTGTGGCCTGACTCTGTGGACGTCCTGCAGTGGCTGGGCACCTCTGATGGCCCCTCTCTTCTGGGTGCTGGCAGAGCCTGGAGTCACTCTAGGCAGTCTACACTGCATTCTGGGGGCCTTTACATGGTGTCCCTTCAGGATCCCACGACTCACTTCTGCCTGACTACTGTTTTTTCTTTTCGGCCACGTGGCTTGTGGGATCTTAGGTCCCCCGACCAGGGATCAAACCTGGGCCCTCAGCAGTGGTAGCGTGGGGTCCTAACCACTGGACCCCAGGGAATTCCCTTGTTCTGGTCTTTAATAATTTCTAAGAGCAAAGGCCCAGAGTGTCTCACTTGAGATGCAGCTGACATTTCTAGTCAAAATCCATGGTTTACAGAAGCAGTCGGTGACATTTGTGATGACTTCTGTGAATGCGGGACGGTCTCACCGACAGTCTCTGGTTCATTTCTGGCCCCTGCGGGTGGGCTTGCCCTGGTCGTGGCGTCGGGGGCTGCTGTCCAGCTGCAGCTTCTCGTTGCAGAGCGCGGCCTCAGTAGTCGCGGCACCGGGTTTAGTTGCCCCGAGGCACGTGGGGTCATCCCGGGCCAGGGATTGAACCCACGGCCCCTGCGTTGGCAGGTGGGTTCTTTACCAGTGGACCACCAGGGAAGCCCTCACTCACAATCTTAATGTTGAGTAGAACTAATGAAAATGATGTTTCCCTGGTGGCTCCGTGGTAAAGAATCTGCCTGCCAATGCAGGAAACTTGGGTTTGATCCCTGGGTTGGAAAGATCCCCTGGAGAGGGAAATAGCAACCCCCTCCAGTTTTCCTGCCTGGGACATCCCGTGGACAGAGCCTGGCGGGTTGTGAGAGAGGTGCACATGACTTAGCGACGGAACAGCAGTGGCACGTTTCCAGTGCGCTGGCATTCATCTCTCACCCAGTAACTGCCATGGTGGCACATAACTCAGGGACTCCTGGCACCCGGGAAATACTGATGCCAGTCTCAGGGAGGATGGGAAGGCTGTCGTCATGCTAACAGAAGAGCAGCAAGGCGTGACCTCGGAAGGCAGTTCTGGAGCCGTCGGTGGTGCTGGTGTGTCCGGGGCTGCCCTTCGGGGAACCCCTCTCACCCACAAGGCACTGGGGCTGCTGCTCAGCCTTGCGGACGCTGGGTTTTGGATGAACCCCATGTTCGGTGGCGTGAGTAAAGCGCCTGTCCTCGGGGTCTCTGTAGATGCAGAGCTTGTGCGGAGTCAGCCGTGCTGCTCAGCCTGTGCTGCTGTGACTGCCCCGGGCCGTGTGCTGGGAAGCCCCGTCTCCATCTGGGGACCAGCTGGTCACCAGGTTGCTCTGGGGCTGTGGGGCTGCGGGGTCGGCCATGGGCGACCTCCACGTCACTTTGCACGTTTTGGATTTGGGGGCCTCTGTGTGTAAACCTGGTTTTTAAAAAGCAGTAGCTTTTGGGTCTGTCTCCCTGTTATGCACCCAACTCCTGTCTCCTGCGCCTCAGGGAGCAGAGTGTGGGCACTGCTGCCCTCAGGGTGAAGCCTGGGGCCTGGGGGCGCCCCACGTGCTTGCTGGGGGCTTGGGTTGACTGGAATTTGGTTCCAGGACACGTTGCTCAAAGTGTGAATGAGCAGAAAGCCTCCCGGAGCCAGGCCGGCAGAGCTGTGCGCTGGGAGTCCTGTAGGGTGCGCTGGGTCCCCTGCCTTCCCGGGCCCCCACGGCCTCCTGGACGACTCTGGGGTTCTGCCACGACCTCTCCTCTCACCCCTCCCTGTTGCCCCCCTGCCCCCCAGGAAGAAAACAGACAGATCCTGGCTCAGCAGAAGGCGGCCTCGCAGTCGGACTTGCAGGACGAGGATGTGTCTCCGTTGCCACCCAATCCTGTGGTGAAGGCCCGGCACCGGCGCGGGGGCGTGAGTGCCGAGGTGTACACGGAGGAGGATGCCGTGTCCTACGTGCGGAAGGTGGGCCTGGACTGGCCCCGCGTGCTCCGCCCCGCCCCTGCCCCGCCCACAGCCCCGCCCACAGCCCGGAGCTGCGCTGACCTGGGTGGGGGCGGGGGGGGGCGGTCCTGTGGTCCCTGCTGACCCTGAGTCTGGCGCCGCACTTACCTGAGCTCCCGTGGGGCCCCTGCTGCCAATGGTTCTTGACGCCGATAGGCTGGGGATAGGGTGGGTCCACCCAGGTTGTGGGGTGTGGGGGAGGAGCCCCGGGTCTGTGGCCACGCTCTCCTGTCCTCCCGGCTTCATCCTGGAGGCTGGACCCCGACCTCGGAGCTGTCTGGAGGGAGCCCGCCCCACCCTGGCCTCCAACCTCCCTTCCGCTCCCGCTGAGCAGGGCTCCCCTCTGCCTTGTCAGGGGCCTGGCTGGTGAGACAGCGCTGGTGGCCACGTGGCCCCCAAGGCCCCCTTGGACCCGTCAGTCCATCTTACGCATTTCTACAGCTAGCTCTGCTTTTTAAAATTTTTTAAAAAATAGTTTATGGCCATTAAAAATTTTCAAAAATTAGGAAAATGTGAGTAACATAAGGTTTATCACCTGTGTTTGTTCTGGCCGCTATAACGAGAGGCTGGGGGCTTACAGAGCAGACATGTACTGTCACAACTTGGGGGCTCAGGGTCCCAGACCAAGGTGCCAGCAGGGTGGGTTCCTGGTGAGGACCCTCTTCCCGTGTCCTCAGTCAGTCGTCACCTTTGCACGTGTTTTCAGGTCGAGTTGGGGGGCGTGTGTGGAGCAAGCTCTCGGGGTCTCGACTTACAAGGGCACCGATCGCATCCTGGGGACCCCACCCCCACAACGTCTCCCGATGCCATTCCCCTCCCGAAGCCCCATCACCGAACCCTGTAACCTGGGGACCCTCCCTAGGCCGTGGTCCTTGGGCTTCGACATAGGGATCTGGGGACAGAGTGGCCACAGCACTTCAGCCACTGTCATGCCACGGTCACCACCGTCATCTCCAGGATGCTTTCATCTCACAAAACTGAACCTCTGTCTGCATGTGACCACACCTGCCCCCAGCCCTCCCATATAATCAGGGAATAAAACCAGTGAAGGTGCACCTGAGAAGCCCACCAGGACACTTCACTCCTGTGGCCTTTCTCCTAAAACCCAGGACTCCTGTCTAATGCGGAGTTCCCCAGACACACCCAGATGGAGGGACGCTCTGCAGAGTAACTGGCCGGCCCTCCTCCGAGGACCTGTCCCCGACCAGAGGGGCTGAGGGGCGGTCGCCTGTGTGTGGCCCGGATGGGGGCCCAGGAGGGAGGACGGATGTGTGGGTTCAGTCCCTGGGAAGGTGGTGGGGGTGCTCCGGGGCAACCCTGGGTGTCGCAGGAGGGTGGGGTGCCTTCAATATTGCAGGTCTGACCTGCTATACAGTGGTTGGACCTGAGGCGGCTTTTCAGGAGGCTCTGTCCTGCCCCCCAGGGGTCTCCTTTTACAAGGGTTCCGTGGTTTCAGACATAGTGCGCCTACCTGGGAGGTCCTGACGTCCCCCCTACCCCAGCCTGGAAGAGAGAGGAGCAGCTGAGCACGAGGCGGGGCCGTGTCACGGCACAGTCAGCCTCCCGCTCGGTGTCCTTTTTTAAGACAACGCTTCTCTATTGAGCTGCCTCAGGTCTTAGCAGCCGCGCACGGACAGCAGGTGTGCTCCAGGATTCAGCTGCTCCTTGGCTTGTGGGACGTTAATCTCCTGACCAGGGATCAAACCCACGTCCCCTGCATTGTGAGGCGGGTTCCTAAGCGTCGGGCCCCCGGGAAGCTCCTCTTGGTTCTTTTAAGGGAAGAGCCTTGGCGTTGGAGGGCTGGTGCTGGTCATCAACGGAGCACATCGTGAGCGCCGCGGGCTGGTCCCGGTGGGCACGGGGATGGCTTTTTATGCACATTTGGCCAACTGGGTCCAGACCCCTACCCGGCCCCTCCATCACCAGCTGGAAGTGTGGAGCCAGCCTGGGGTCACATTATCTTTTGTTCCCCCAGTTTTCAAATATTTCAGTAAGTACTTACTACCTGAAGAAAAGCCAAAGAAAGAAAGAAAATTTTATCCAGGGGCCCGGAGGTCCGTAGTGTATTTTAGAGGCTCTGGAGGCCCCCAGCGCCTGTCCACCGAGACCCTGAGTTCACGGTGACACTCAGGCCAACTCTGGGTCACTCTCAGCTCCTTGTCTCTTCTTTACTTTTTAAATTGAAAAAAGTTGTGGCGCTTAGCTAGCATTTCAAGTTTTCTGTCTACCATCACTGGTAGACACATCTTGAAGGCTGGGCAGCAGCATTTCTCGGGGTCTAGCAGGTACCTGGAGAGGCTGGCACCCGGAGAGGCTGGCAGGCGCAGGCCTTGGGATGGCGCAGGTCTGACTCCGCCTGGTCTCCCCGCAGGTCATCCCCAAGGACTACAAGACCATGACGGCGCTGGCCAAGGCCATCTCCAGGAACGTGCTGTTCTCTCACTTGGACGACAACGAGCGGAGGTAGGAGTTGGGGGCTGGCCCGCTCCGCGGCACGCGGGTCAGCTTTGGGAGCACAGGCTCGGGGTGGGGGTGGCCTCCGGAAATGAAGCGCTGTGTGCACCTGGGCTCCCTCCCAAATCTGGGTCAGGATCAGAAGTGCCTGCAGGCTGGCCTTGTCACAGAAAGACACCTCGTCTGCTTGCAGAGGGCCGAACGCGCTGCCTCCTCGGGGCTTGTGTGGAAGCACGTCTGTGCACGCAGCATGGGGTCCTTGAAGGAGGGTGACTGAGCTGGGTGATGGGCAGCACTGGCTGGAAGGGCCTTGGGGCGGACGTGGGGCGAGGGTGTAGGTTACCCCGGAGGTGGACATGGGGCGAGGGTGCGGGTTACCCCGGGGGTGGACGTGTGGGGAGGGGGGGTGCAGGTTACCTCAGAGGGTGGACGTGGGGTGTAGGTTACCCCAGAGGGTGGACGTGGGGTGTGGTTTCCCCAGGGGGTGGATGGAGGGTGGGGGTGCGGGTTACCCCAGGAGGTGCATGTAGGGTGGAGATGCAGGCTACTTCAGGGAGTGGTCCGGGTCTGAAGGCGCTGGGGTGCTTTGCCTGAGAATCGAGACCCTGTGAGTAACAAGGAGAGCTGGACCGTTGTGTGCCCCGCCGCCCGGGTGAGAGGGCCCCTGGGGCATTGGGCGCAGGCCTTCAGGGCTGACTCTGTGCACACAGCTGAACCTGGGCGGAGCAGGGTTACCCCCTGAGGTAACCCGCACCCTCGCCCCTCGTCCACCCCCCGGCGGAGCCTCGCGCCCACGAGGAGCGCAGCATCTGCCCTGCATACTCCGGGCCGTGTCACGAGGCTGCTTTCCTTCCCTGGCTCCAGCGTTTTTTAGGACACGCAGCGTTTGGATGACATGCCTGTCCTCAGAGGCTCGTTGAAAGTATTTGCCTGTTTAAGATAAACTCAATGTGGATCAAAGAGTAAATGATGTCTAGAAATTTGGTTATTCTAAAAAAATTCCTTTTGCCCCCATTCTCAGCAAACTGATTCATTAGCCTCATTGAGCACATTTTAACAGTCCATGTAGGATGTACACATGGCAAACAGAATGAAGGGAGAAGAACTCTGTTTTTTTACAATGGCAGCTTTTAAAAAGCTGATTTTATTTATTCATCTGTGGTTGCACTGGGTCTTCATGCTGCACACAGGTTTTCCCCTAGCTGTACCGAGAGGAGTCCTCGTGGCTTCTCATTGCTGTGGCTTCCCCCTGGTGCGGAGCTGGGATCTGGGTCCACGGGTCAGTTGTCCGTGGAACGTGGACTCTTTCCGGGCCAGGGACTGACTGAACCCGTGTTCCCTGCATCGGCAGGCAGAAGCTTATCCACTGTGGCACCAGGGAAATCCTGAGAAGGCCTCTTTGTGACCCCCTCCCCACAGTGACCACCTGCTGCAGTCTGGGGTGGTCCCTGCAGGCTGCTGTCCATGAGCGTGTTGTATGGAGCTGGACAGAACACATGCATCTTCTGAGACACGGGCCTGGGGGCCTCCCCTGTGACCCCTGTCTGGTGGTTGTGGGCCTGTCGCTCTACTAAGGGGTGGTCGGTTTGTCTACCACTGCCCTTACCAAGGCCGCTGGGACGTCTCTCCTGTGTTAAGGGCCTCGGAGGAGACCGAGGTCACTGGGACATCTCTCCCGTGTTAAGGGTGGAGACTGAAGTCGCTGGGACGTCTCTCCCATGTTTGGGGTGGAGACTGAGGTCGCTGGGACATCTCTCCTACGTTAGGGGTGGAGACTGAGGAGTGGTCTTCTGCAGGGCCGGCTCCCAGAGCAGTGTGGCGGCACTGGCCAGGTGCCAGGCTGGGTTTTCAGGCTTGTGGTACATCGTGCTGGCCAGTCGCCCAGGAAGGCCGTAGGCATGTCCAGGAGACCTGAGGTTGGGGTTGGCCCCTCCTGGCCCCCAGCATGGGGACGAGGCTGCTTCCCGGGGCAGGCGGGAGGTTGCGCTGGAGAGGCTTGGTCTGCAGAAGCCCGTGGGGCGGGCGGGGCTGGGGGCCGGCGATCCCCCCCGGGACCACCTGCACGCCCAGTTGTCTCTCGTGTCCTGGGCTCCCCTCTCACTGCTCTGCGGTTCCTGGCAGACCCGTGGAAGGTGGACGTGGGGGACACCTCCTCACAGTCACCCCCCGACCCCCTCTCCCTCCGCTGAGTAGCCTTCCCGGTGCTGGCACCCCAGGTGCGATGGCCTGATACCACGTTTGAGATGAGAGGGTGTCATTTCTCTGATAACTGCTGACACCTGGGCGCAGCTCACTGGCTTCCCTGGAAGCTGCTGAGCAGGTCCGCAGCCTGGACTCTTATGCCCAGAACAGAAGGGTTTGGGCTCAGAATTCCAAGGCTTCTCACCAGGTCCTGCCCTTTTACGGCCCTGCCAGCCCCAGGCAGTGGCTGATGCAGCGAGGTCTTAGCCTAGGGCCAAGGCAGCTGAGCGGGACTCCTTCTCCGGGTGGTTTCTGGCAACGTGTGTCCAGGAAGCATCTGGGGGGGGGGGGTCCTTTGCCCTTGACCCTAAGTTTCCAGAGCCATGAGGCTCCCTCTGCCTCTGACTTTTCTGCATCCGAGAGCCAGGTGGACAAGAAGTGGAGGAAGCAGATGGTTGGATTAAAATTCCTCTTTGTGAGGCTGGCTTGGAAAGAAAGCTTTCCACAGGGCGTGTCTGCTTCAGATCTTTTGTTTTGCTCAGAGGAAAACTCACTTTCCAGACTGGAGCCTGCACGCCCCCGTTTCTGGTCATGGTGGCCTCGAGGAGACCAGTCGACAGCTCAGGAAGCAGGTCTGGGGGCGCGGGTGGGGAGGGCTGTCTCCTGACCTTCCCCACTCTGGCTCCTTGTGTGGCGCCCAGCATCTTTGCTGTTCCCAGCTTGGTGGACGTGGGGCTTCGCGGCTCCATCTGTGCTTGCCGCGGCCTGGCGCATGCCGCCCGTACCCCCAAGCATGTGGAGCGTCTGGTGAGCCCTGACGGGCAGGCGGCCTGCTGCTCCCTCTGCCTCCTTGGGTGGAGAGCCCCCGCACATCCCCTCAGACAGACCCCGGGGGGACACAGCGTGCTGCCCTGCAGCCCTCCCGCTGACCTCAGAGGTGACATAGGCCACCCCACGGTCGCGGGCCGGGCACCATGGCTCTGCCAGCGAGTCTAGCTGGCCTGCAGGTCCACCTGCTGGGAGAGTCGGGGGCCGTGTGCAGTCTTCCCTCTAGGAGAAGGAGCGTGTCGTTTGGTCAAACCGCAGCACCCACCAGAGCTGGGTCCCGGCACCTTGGGGGCTTTGCAGCCTGCATCCCGCCCTCTCCTGGGTGACAGTTCACATGGTCACGTGCCTGTGACGGGAGGAAGGTGGTGGCCCAGGCGCTGCCCTGCGATCGGGGGGCCTGCTGTCCTGGGGCCCTGGGGGTGCAGGGAGCTGGTCCTGCCCTGCTGGGTCTTGGAAGCACCAGAGGGGACCAGGGGGCCCCGTGTCCTCGCGCTGGGGGCAGGGGTCCGGCCGCGGCTCTGTGTCGGGCCCTGGGTGGGGGCCTCATCGTCCCTGGAGCCCCCAGACAGCCGGACAAGCCTGTGACCGCGGGGCGGCTGCGCTCTTTGCAGCTCGCATCAAGGCCGGCCTCCGTCCGCGCTCCCGGCCACGCAGCTGTCTGTCTCTCGCCCACTTGTGTATCTCGCAGCCTGTTTGTCCGCAGACTGGCCCGGCCCCCAGGTGATGGGAAAAACACGCAGGCAGCTGCGTTGCCAGTTCTCTGCCCCCCGCCCCCCCACCCCCCAGCCTGGCTCCAGCTTGGGCTTCGCTGCCTCCCAGTCAGGCGATGCTAAAAACCAAAACTGAAAAACAAGGCTGGTGTCTCGGAGGGGGCAGGACCTCGTCCGAGCAGCTGCTCGATGGCTTTAACACGCGAGGCCGCTCTGGGCTGAGGACGCCTCCAGGCTAGTATGTCCGGGCCGCGTGGCCCAGCGCGTGGGGGCCATGCTCCATGGGGGCTGAGGCCCGGGGCTCTGGCGCCCACGTCCCGGAGTGCTCTGAGCCAGACCACGGGTGGCAGGCCTCACGGGCGCGCCTTGTTAGGGCCGCGCCAGCCACGAGATGGGCCCCAGGGAGGGCGAGCAGGCTGCCCACGGCCCCCACGGCCCCCACGGCCTGGGAGAGACAGGGATTCAGGCCGCAGGTGCAGCCAGGCCGCCCAGCTGACCCGCTCCTGCCGCGGCTGCACCGCTGGCCCCAGAGCCTCCCGTCTGACCCGCCCGTGGTCTCCCACACCCGGCGCCGTCTTGATGTAGAGCTGCTGGAGTCTGGCAGTGAGAGGTCTCCAGGACACGGCGGAAAGGTCTTCTCACACCTGCTGGGTCACTGTTGACGTCTCCTGATGGTCGCCCCCTAACGTGATTTGAGGTGCCTGCCGACCACGAGTCACTAAGGTCCAGAGAGGTGGGGAGTGCGGTCTTCTGTCTGGAAAGGAGGGGCCCTGCGGGGTGCCCCTGCTGGGGAGCTGGCCCCGGCACCCCCACAGTGGCGACACGGGCCCTGGACCGAGGGACCCCAGGGTGCTGGCCCCGTTCCTGAGCCCTGCTCACTGCAGAGGGAGGACCTGAGCCGAGTGTGGGATCACCGCCTGCCCCATTTGTCAGGTGGGGAGGCGGCTGCATGGCCCCGTCCACGTGCCTGAGATAAGGGTCCCTGAGCACATGAGGCCCTCTGAGGCCACGTCTGCCTGCCCCTGGAGGGGAGGGCAGCTCCCGTCCCCCTGGGCCCGGCTGACCCCCTGACCCCTGCTCCCCAGCCCTGCTGGCTCAGCCTTGCCACGTGCACAGACCTGGGTCCACAGTCGAGCCACAAGGAACCCAGGATGTTACCAGGGCAGGGAGACCCCAGGGCGCCAAAGAGTTAAAGCGCTCCATTTCCGATGGCATGAAAATCAGGGGCGAGCAGCTGATGGATACAGTGCGTCCTCCCCACAGCTGTTCCTGGAGTCAAAGTGTGTCTTT